GCAGTCAGCACATTACCAGTTAACTAAGGGTCTTGCTCCACGTTCGGCTGAGATGGGTTAACAGTGGACGTGGCACAACCAAATAGTTCCCTCACTGCTAGACGAAAATCTTTGTACTTGTAGAAGTAGATGATTGGATTCATTAGTGAATTAAGTACCATGGCATTTACTCGAATAAACCGAAGTGTTCGAAGTCGGAACGGGAAGCTGTGGATTAAGATGAAGTGAAGAACGTGCGGTGTAACCAGAATAAACGAAGTGCCGACAACTGTAAGTACGATCTTGGACATCTTCAGCGTAGCGTGGAAAGCGGACATGTCTTCTCTCTCCTCAGCTGATGCTGCGGCCATCCTTCGTGTGTGGTCCCAGACAATCCTTGCGATGACGACGTAGCAGTAAGTCATGAAGATAAACAGAATAATATAATGACTGGAAAAGAAATAAACGAATCCAGGCAAAAGTTCTAGGTCAATGACGCAGAATGAAGGCGGCTCCCAGGAATAAGATACTTGGATGGCTGCTGCGATCCCAATCACAATCGCGTACGTCGTCGATAAAGTTATGAGAACACCAGTGCGAGCAGGAGTCATCAGCTGGTTGTAGCGTAACGGATACACGATGGCCACGTATCTGTTGATCGTGCAGAGTGCAATATCCAACAACGACAGCTGAAAAAGCGTCATTGCAAAGCCCGTAAACGCGGCGCACCGCGGCATTGTGTCACGGCGCAGGACTCCTGTCCAGAGTGTACTGCCGAGTGCGAAGTCACAACAGGCCAGATTAGCGATCGTCATATTTGCTGCTGTTCTCAGTCGGCGAATCTTTGCTATAACAATAATCACAAGACCATTGCCTACGGCTGTAAATAGCGAAACCAGTACAAACAGTGGGACGTTTAGTGATCTAGAATGTGTTTTAATAGCAGTGATATTTGCGTCGTCAGAGTAATCCTCATCAGAGTTGTTCCGGTGACTGCTTATTGTCAGGTTGCTCTCATTTGAAAACAAGGTCACATCCATCGTCGATGCGTGAAGCTTTCAAATAGTCTACGTTTCTGTGAGTTACGCTGCTGTCTTCGGATCTTCGTGCAACCTACAATTCAGATGTTACATAGATTGGCAATGACGACGTGAGCTAGAGACTGCTTAGGTATCACGCATGCCTTTATATACTTCTGTTTGCGCGCGCGCAGCAACTCCTTTTTTACTATGTGTCGATTTAAACCTATTACCGTGAACCAATCATAGGCTGCCGTCTCGCCCTACCACTCAATACTACCTGGACCTCCATGTCTCACTCAGGCAGAAGTACGTCATGTTTTTCGATACATGAAAGACACTATTGTCACTACTAAAAGAAATAAAAAAGTTTTAAAATACTTAGTCGATACAGATGTTCTGTAAACAGGATAAAAGTACTAAACATTATATATGTACGTGTGTGTAGTTAATTTTAATTATGACACGCGCCGAAATTGATTTAATTAAGTTATGTATGCGACACAACTTTCTGTTTTCATCAGATGCAACAGAAAAAGTGAAGTAAGATGCAGTAAATTAATCGTATAGACGTAAGACGTATAATCGTATAATCGTAAGACAAAGGGAAAAAAGAATATCTATATAACTCTATAAATGTGTTCCTTGTGCTGTCAGCAGTAACGCAATTACCAAGGACTAAATTATGGCTGGCAGTAGTCATTTAAACAAAACAAAATTCCATTGAATACGACAGTACGAGTTCTACAACATATACTTGTCACACTTGGAACACACCTTAAGAGCCACTGCAACATACAGCTCTTTCACCATCTG